AATCTACGTTTAAGCCCGATTTCAAATGGGTATATTTCCTTCATCCAGACTCGGTTTTAGGTGATTCTTAAGTCTAAATTAAAATCCTGGAAGTCTACTTTCCAATGGTGTCAGCCTTATATCTAAATTCTAAGTTGTAAAAGAGATATGTCTATTTGAGTGAAGGTTGCTCATTTTTATCTTAACCGGATTGATGCCTAACTTCAAACGGCCATATCTCCCTCATCTAGACTCAGCTTTAGGAGATTCTTGAGTCTAAATTGAAGCTCCGAAAGTCCACTTTTCCAATGGTGGTATCCTCACAACTAAGTTCTAAGTGTACAAAGAGATAGGCCTGATTTAGTGAAGGCTACTCAATTCTCCCTTAACGGCTTCTTCCCCAACTAGTTTTCTTCCCTCCTCTACTATTTTCTTCAACTCCAAACCGATAAATAAGAGGTTTTAAAAAAAATTCAAAGAGTTCACTTCTCTTCCATTTATTTCCACTTTGTCCTTGCTCGGTTTACCAAAAAGTGCAACTTTTAAACTACATGCGAGCCTCGGAACATCGTGAAAACATTTGGAAAAATATTTGGAAAAAGAGGGTTTTAAGGTCTAAAATAGTTTCGGTCAAAAAATTATTGGTCAAAATGGGGTGTACGGTTGGGATTTAGAATCTCTTCTTGCAAAAGAAATCGAACGTTTGTACAGCGTAACTTTCATCATCGAGTGATCAACCAGAGACCCCCAAGTCTTAAGGGGGGTCAAAAATGGGGTGTCTACAATAATGAGGCGCCTTGGACAACATGCTTGTCAGGCGGCGTGCGCAGAATAGGACTGCAAACGAGCCGAGCCGAGCCGAGCTTTAGTATGTTTTGGCTTGCTTATTAAGATTTTAACGAGCTCGAGCTCGAGCTGAATAAAAATTTAATGAACCAAGCCCGAGCCGAGTTGTGAGACTAAAGTTACAATTAAAATTTTGATTATATAATTATATATACAGTATATATAAACATACTAAAAAAAAGTCCATATTTTACTAAAATAATAATATTACTACCACTATTATATAAATGTATTATCTATAGTTAATTATTATTTACATTTACATTTTTTAAATATACAAATAGCATATTTCTCTTATTTTTTATACATATTTGTATATTATTTAATATATAAATAATAAATATTAAACGAGCTAGCTAACGAGCCGAGCTTACGAGCTGAGCTTTGGAATGTTTGGGCTTGTTTATTAAAAATTTAACGAGCTCGAGCTCGAACGCAAAAAAAAAAAAAACAAACCATGTTCGAACGAGCTCTTGCCGAGCCGAACTCGAGTTTGTTCACGAACGGCTCTGTTCATTTGTAGCCCTAGCGTAGAAGCGACGCAACCTGATAGCGCGTGTTAGGTATGAACCAATGAGGAATGGACGTGTGAAGGAAATGGTTGGGTAAACCGAGCGTGACAACTCATGCGCAGTCAAAACTGTTGGAGTTCTTGATTAATGAAGCAAAAACCTTGGCTAGAGGAGCGATCTCGGTTAAGATATTAAAAGAACTTGACTCTTGGTTCTTGATCATTGGTAAAAATGGACAGTTGAATCGTGGGTACTTGAAATTGTTGAGTCATGATCTTGGTTGAAGGAAAGAATGAATTTTAGCCGACATAATATATGAATAAGCGATGTAGGTTCCATCACCTCAGGTTGCTGAGGTAATACAACCTAAGGGGCAGTTGTGGAGACATATTTTGTAAATGACAGCACGTAGCCAAGGTGACATCAAAATGTTAGCCGAGGTGCCACGTGGCCTAGTCCTGACGCCGAGGTGATCTCGGCTAGGCCGAGGTTATCTGCAGAAATATAGGAATCCGAGATGAGCGGATAAGGGATAAGAGTTCTAAAATAGAGGAGGATCTCAGTCTGAATAAAGATAAAGCTCTTAGAGAGTTTATCCCTATCTAGCTAAAAGTCCAGGATGAGCATTGAGCTTAAATTTATTGAAGTTAGGCTTCTATAGGGATCAGGCCAGTGCTGGCTATAAAAACAGGGCACCCCCATGGGTCTCAGGTATGTGTGATAGACTAGAGCAGTAGGTTCTTTCTTGCGAGTTAATCACAATTTGCTATCTTTTGAGAGATATTTATTTACTGACTTGATCATTGGAGTACCCCTAGGTGAACGAACCACCATCGAATTCTTATTTTTTTATGACAGGTTGTTCGGGCTTAATCTATTCTGCCGATACTCTCTAACTGAGTTTCCCCTTTGGTTATGTGGCCGGAAATCAACACCCATAGCTTCGTCTTGTGAGGATGTGGGAGTCCGTTGTGCACTGTCGAAGGGGTGGTCATCGAAGATAATCTAGAAAGGGAGGAAGGGTTTGTATCTAGAAAGGAAGAGTGAGAGAGAGGGAGAGAGAGAGAGTTAGGACCGTGGATGATATATAAAGATATTTTAGTCATTTTACTTAAATTTGTTCTATTAGACGAAGTATTATAGTGCCTAATTTTAACTAAACAAAATTAAAATTTGAATGTATTGGCCGAATGCCCTTAAATTTAATCAATTTTTTTTATATGTAAAAAAAATTAAAAATTCTTAATCTTTTCATTCTCAGTCGATACTTTATGCAAAATGTTATGAGTACTTAATAAATTGTTATTAGTTTTAAATACACGTGTATAAAATAAATTTTAAAAAGAGACTTGGTTGGTTAGAAATTGACTTTTTAGTAATTTTTTATTTTTCTTACAAAAAAAATGTATAAAAAAAATATGTTAAATTTTTGTATTAATTTTTTGACTATTTTAAACAGTTGCCAAACATGGCCTTAGATGTCTACCATCCAAGATTGGGACTAGACCTATCGTCATTTTGATAATTTAAATTATTTTTTAAGTTTATGTGCATAAATTTTTTTTTTATTTTTAATTTTATTTTTTAATTAACAGGAAAATAATTATAAATATAAAATAATAATAATAATCACAACACAAAAAGGTACATGAACTCCTCTCCTATAGAGTCCAATCCGAAGCTCACATTACAAAGTAATACCATACTTGTCTTGTATTTTATTTTCTAGTTAAATTTTTCTTAATTTTTTTGTTTAAAAAAAAATAATTTGTGAGGCCAAGAAATTGGTTGTGGATGCAAGTAGCAGTAGTATGGGTATTCTATACTTTTCAAATCTCTCTCAATATATGTCATCTTTCTGTACCTTTAATTTTATGCTGTTAATAAAATTTTTCTTTACTGATAAAAAAAAAAAAAAAAAATTATACACAACTACCAAGCCAATAGCCCTAATTCATGTTTAAGCCTCCGTCCTTAAAGCATGCACAGCAAACTTTACAAATGTTGAACCAATTTACAATCCAAAAATCACATTTTTATTTTACGTAACTACCTTTTTAGATACACCGTTCATTAGACTCTTTACTTTAGCTTTATTTTTCACTCAATAAAGTGAAAAATGGTGGGATCAAATTTATCATAAAATGATAAATTATTGAATTTACAGTGAATAGGATCTCAACAAATTTGTTAAGTTATTGTAGCAAAAAAAAATAATAATCAGTTATAGAATTGGTTTGTTAAGATTGGTGGAACACTATTTTTATGATTTACTAGCCATGTTTAGCTAGAAAATTAATTTGTTGAGGCTAATGTACATCCTCTTATCATATTCATCGGGTAATTAAAATCACAAAATTTTATTATATTTATCTTTTAAAAAAGTGTTGGATTTATCTCAAATATATATATGTGTCCTTGATGGACTTGTGAGACACATTACCGGTCCAATTTCTATCATTCCAATTGTTTATTTTGGCTCCGTTTAGAACTTAGTTATTTTAATTGATTTTTTTGGTTATTTGACTATTTTAGCCCTATTAAAAAAGTAGTGGTTGAAATGATAATTGACTTTTTCTTTTATAGTTGATTTGATGATTGTGAGAAAAAAAATAATTCATCATGCTTGGTTACCACTTTTCAAAAACACTTTTTAGAAAATTCTACTTTCTTATTTTTTATGTTTTTTTGTTTTTATTGAATTTTTTTAATACTTTGAGCATTTTTTTTTTAATTTTTAGACATACCTAACATAAATATACCTGAAAAGTAAAAAAAAAAATTAAAAAAAACTTTTTAAAAATTCACTAAATACAAAAAATACAAAAAAAAAAATATGAGAATTCAGTATATTTTTTGTATTTTTATATATTTATTAATTTTTAAAAATATTTTTTCATAAATTTTTTACTTTTTAGATACATCTAAGTAAGGTGCATCTAAAAAAGTAAAAAAAAATATTTAAAATTTTAAAAATATTCATTAAAAACAAAAAAATACAAAAATCAAAAAATTCAATTTTCAAAAAGCTTAATTCAAAAAACTCAAATGTGATATTTTATTTTATTAGTTATTTTAATTTATTTTGTATTTATTAACTATTTTAATTTAAAAAAAAAAAACACAAACCTAAGTTCCCAAACAGACCCTTGTTAGGTTCTATGAATGTGTATCATTCATGAAAAAACTAAGTCAATAATCACAACCTCTCCACTTTATTGTATTTGTTTTCAATAAAATAAATGGTTTGTATTAAAAAATTACATGTCATCTATGTTTTGCAAGGCTAATTCAATGAAATGAAAAAGGCGCAATTATTAAATCAATTTAAATTTTTTTTATAAATAATATACACAAAATTTTTTACAAAATAAACTATTCAAATAATTAAATCAGGATTCATGTTAGGTCCACAAGTTTTTTAAATTCTCTGAAATTGAAATTTGAAATTCAAGTGTGTTTGGTTTATAAATTTTAAAAAAAAATTAAAAAATGAAAGGAAAAGAAAAAATATTGATAAATTATGAATAAAATATCTTATATTTCACTAATTTCACATACTAATTTTTTTCTTTTTATTTTCTAAACCTTCCTTTACATTTATAAACCACAGAAACACAATAAATGCAGTCCAACCTCATAATCAGAGCCGTTTATGCCTTTTTCATTCAAATCTCGAGGCAATCGAGTGGTGTTAGATTCATGCACGAACTCGTGATCCGTCTTCTCTGCAACACTACCCTACTTCTCTTCCCGCCATTTTCTCCGTGAAATTAACAACAATTTCTAATTTTGGCGCCATTTTTGCTTTACACACACAGAAGAAGAGAGCAAACCAGAGGGGAAGGGTTTTGTGATGAGAGATGGAATCGGGATCAGGAGAAGGGTCGATGATGGACGACTACGAATCGTTGATTTCGACTACCGATGCAGAGCTCTTGAAGCGGTCATGGCGGAACGAGAAAGCTGCTCCCGAGATTCTTCAGTTCGAGCTCTCTCTGGTTCAGAGATCCACAGAACAGATCCAATTGATGGTGATTTAGATTTGATTTTGTTTTTCTGTTTTTTTCTTTAGATGTTATTGAGAATCGAATTTTATGGAGAGAACATAGTTGATCTGCACTGGAATACAATACTGAACGCTTAAATCATAGGCACCAAGAGCAAAAGTTGAACTTGTTTTTCATGGAATCAATTTAATAACTATGTGGAGATCAGTTCTCTAGAATTCATGTGTATGTGTGTGTATGCATATTTTCTAAATTTTTCTACAATTCAAGTGAGAACTAATGATTTCAGTGCCTCTTAATGCTTCAAGTTACGATTAGATGTTTTCTCTTTGATGTAGATTTTTGTAATGGGAACTCTTAGTTCATTTAGTCAATCATTCTTGTTAAAATGTCGAAATGCGTAAATTTTAGTATTTACCTTGAATATGTCTAATTTGGCTAAGTAGATTTATTTTTAAAGTAATTGTTTGATTCTGCAATGTTAGCAGATTAAATGGTAGATGCTATATGACATAAGCAGGAAAGTGATGGAGAAATGAGTTATTAGGTGGAAGCAAAAATGATAACTTTTCAATTTTTTGAAATTATTGTTCATATTTTTAGTAGCGGCTTGTATGTAATCTGTGTATTGACTATAAACTGGAGGAGGAAGGGAATGCCAATGGAGGTTGATGGTGGTTTGAAGGGAGGTGAGATTATGGTGGCTAGTTTTGACGAAGGTGGTGGTAGTGGCTATTGTGTTAACAACAACAATAGCAATGGCTTGAAGTAGTTGTGGTAGTGATAGTAGCATAGTTGCATTGTTGGTTTTTATGGTTGATGAGTTATATGCAGTGGTAATTATACTGGTGGAGAGCTGGCCAGCCACGTAGAGAGTCATATGCATGTATCTATAAAGCTCTTGTACAAAATGGAACTCTTGTGGTATATTAGTTCTCTAGTCCATAATCTGTTGAGAAGTTATAATTTTTATACAATAAGATGATGGACTAGTTTGGCATATGGATATTGTTATTTGTCAGATGCTCTATCTCTATAGCAGAAAACCAATTGCCATTGGTTTCAATTTAATTCAATTTAAGTTTGAACTTTGAAAACAGGCCGAGTGACCTTGAAATTCTGCAACATCTCTCCAGAACAATCCTTAAACAACCTTGGCTGATTTGATTTTGGCCTTTGGATTGGTAATCTATTGTAAACATAAAGCATGGTACCTGGGGGGGAGGGGGGTGATGTATATTTTGTTTTCTGAATTGCAGATCTCTAGTAAGCAAAAGACAGGCAATATAGTCTTCCCAATGTTGATATTTGAACAAGATAAAAGAAAAAAAGAATGGTGAAATGGTTATGAGTAAATGATCACAAGACCTCCAGAAGTTCAATTACAACCTTGTGACTTGTGATGAAGCTTAATCACAGGGATTGCCTCTAATTATGTAGTTCTCTCTTTTCATCTGGGAAAATGAATTTATCGGTAGAAATTTGTCCTGTAGTGACGGTTAAACATGGAGTGATCAATATTTCATTACTTGAGGTTTAGCCCTTTCAGCAATTAATTTTTCCTTCTCAAAAGCATCAACAGTCTTTTATGATGCTTTGGAATGTTGTATTTATCTGTTGTCTTCTAGGTGTACCTCATTTGTATACCTCAAGCAACCAAAAATGTCTGCAAAATATTGCATTGAATTTGTCATCCATTTGAATCCTGGCATGTAATTCCTGTTTGCATGGTGTGCAATCATTGTGCTAATTATGTTTGTTATGCCAATTTTGTTGCTTATATTTAGGAAGAAACTGTGGAAGAATCCATGACAAGTGGTGTCGATCCACTCACTGTATCACTTTACCAGATGGACTTGGACAGGACGCAGTTTCTATTAAGATCATATATTCGTATTCGTCTCCAGAAGGTTCTCACAACTGAACTCTTTATTGCTTTGCTTTTAAGGTGTGCCTAATTTTTTTTTAAAATTCATACAAGTCCATTGTGCTTATCACCCCATTTTATGGCATTACCCCATCCTCTCTAATGGATCTATTATGTGAAAGATAGTCCTTCAACAAAGTCACTGAAAGAAGCTGGAGAAAATATCTCTTATGTGAATCTTGAACTCATAATTAAATAAGTTTCAAAGAAAAACTACTAGAATACAGTGAAAGCTAGCCAAAGAGAATGGATTCTTGGAATTCATCTTGCCATGAGTTAGGTTATTGCGTGATTTTTGGTTTGTGATTAGGGCTGCAAATTAACTGAGTTTCATGCGAGCTTGGCTTAGCTTAGTTCGTTATGTATGTAAACAAGCCTGAGCCAGATTTTTAGGCTTGTTTAATAAACTAACTGAGCTCGAGCTATAATAAGCTTGTCTCAAAAAGTTTGGCTTGATTATTATTTATTTAAAGAATAAAATAAATATATTATTTATATGTTGAGAAATGTATTATATATGAATATCTAATATAGAATAATATTGAACAAATCGACCGAGCTTGGTTGTTAAACCAAACTTTTTCTTCATTATCAAGCTTTGAGCTAAGCTTGTGCATGATTAGTATAAACGAACACAAATGAGCCCAATTCGAGCCTTACAAAGCTCGGCTCGGGTTGTTTGCAGCCCTATTTATGATTGCCTGATTGACTTTCTATTGCAGATTGAGAAATACATGGCTCACATCCACAAAACCACTGAACTTTGGAATCGGCTTTCTAAGCAAGAACAAAAGTATGCCCAAAGGTGAGGGCTGTTTATTTATTTTCCTTGTGGTCTTCTATGTTTTGAAGTGGAAACACGAATCGCTGAAATTTTTTGTATGACTTTACCATTACAGGTGCATTGAAGATCTGAAAGAACATTTTGAAAAATCAGTTCTTTCAAAATTGCCTGATCGTTATAAGTCCAGTTTAAAGCAATCTGTTATAAGCGAAGAGGATGACATGGGTAACCCTTTCATCTTTGTCCAAGTTAATGTTAATTTCTTTCTTGCAGAAAGTTTGTAATTTGTTGAATTCTTAGACATTGAAGTTAGTTTTCCATGGCCATATGCTTAGTTTACCTAAGGGGCTCATTTTGTGAAATCAAACTCTAGGGTAAAAGCTTCTTTTGTCTTTGTTGTAGATGAAAAGTAGATATTTCTATACATCTTATACAGATCTATTGTTAATAAGAACTGGGCTAAAAAAAAACAAAAAACCTTAATACAGATAATTACATGGGTCATCCTGAAATTTTTAGTAGCATTTCCCCCTTAATTATGACAGTTTGTATTTAGTTCTGACATCTTAGCATTACTATTCAAATTAATGGGCAAGAGAAATATTTGAGAAGGGATCAGTATAATTTGAACAACTTTATTAGATATTTACTTTTATATATGTTCACCTTTCAATTAAAAAATCTGCAATATAAATTTGGGATCTTGGATGTCTCATTTTTTGTTGATAATATGACATTCATCAAAGTAATAAAGAAACAGAAAGCTATTGGCATGAGAAAGCTTTGCACCCGCATGCTATGTATATATTGAGAAAGTTGCTTTTTGTTTCTGCATGTTTTGCAGTCCCAGAACCCCAGCTGGACACATATGTCATCTGTAGAGCAAAGAGATCCTTGGGAGCTTTCCAGCTTGATGACAGGTAATCTATATTCTATTCTTGCAAACTGTTATCAGAAACAAAAAAAGATAATCCCCCATCTTTCCAATAATCAATTGTTTTCAGTCTATGTATTTTTCTTTTTTTTTTGGTGTGGGGGGGTGTTGGCCTTTTCTTTCTTTTTTTTGGGGTTTGTCTTTTAGTTTTTTAGTTTGGCTTCTTTTGGTCTGGTGAGTTTTTAAAAAAATTATGTCAATTCTTTGCTTTTTAGATCTGTCTCAACTAGGTGATGATCTTTAAAATTTTAAATTGAAAAAAAAAAAAAAATTCAAAAAGATAACTAAGACAATTTTTGTGAGCTTGTTTTGATAAAATTTGATTTATTTTCAATTTTATAAAATTGCCTCAATTTTTTTTAATATTTAGATTCATCTAATCAAGATAAAAAATATTAAAAATTTGACCAAAAGTTGAAAAAAAATGGAAAAGGCAAAATAAGTCTCCCCCCCCCTCCCCCAAAAAAAAAAAGAACGGGTTTTTTTAGTTTTAGCCAAATGAAATTTTACTAAAAATTGCATTAAACGTTCGGATATAGATTCCTCCTCCAAAAAAAAAAAACTATAAACAAATGAGATTGTAAGTTTTTTTTTGGTTGAAAACTTGTATAAGATTGCAGTAGTTTCTACCAACAAATTATGACGTATAAATAATTTATTAAGCTAATAAGGTTTTAAAAAGTAGAGACAATCATTATGTAAGGTCATTACGTAACGATTGTAATAGTTATCGTTATTTGTTATGGCCGTTTACGATCGTAATGGTTGTCACCGTTACCTAAAAGTTAAAGGCCATAACAGTCATTATATTGCTGTTACAGTACCATTACACCCTATAACCACATCAACATATTGCTATTATTACAATAACTGCCATCGATATTTAAAATCTTGTAAGCTAAAAATAAAATAGTTATTGAGAAATAGAGTACTGGATAGTTTGTTTGACTTTGGATAACTTGTTGGGATTGTTCACCCTTGAACTTTGCAGCGCCGAAGAGAATCCAGTGAGCTTGGATGCCGGTGATCCCTACGCTATACGATACAAGTCGATAAAATCACTTGTTTACAGTGGACAAATTGATTTAGTGTGAGTCTCTATCTATTCTCTATTATATTTATAACCCCTTGGTTCTTGACACAAGGCCTGCCTCACTTGTGCAACAAAAAATGGCGTTAACTGACACTGAGGTGCAAGCTACTTCATTTGCAAGGTCCTGTCTGTGATTTGTTAAAATGGTACGCTGAAGTTGTAATATTTCCATATTTTTATGACGTTTTATTGTGATTCTGTAGAGTGGGTCCTTTGTCGTAGCATTTGGCTAAATACTGATATTTTAAATTATACATAAAAAAAAAATTAAGAAAAAAAGAAAAAAAGCAATTGCACCAAACACGGTAAAACATTATATCAAGTTATATATGCAAATCTTACTTTTCCTTGATTTGATTGAAATCTTGTGGTTTTAGCCTTCCCTTTGTATGATGGTGCTTTTGTCAGTTTCATTGTTGTTTCAATGATATCAAACTCAAAATAGTAAAGGGTTTTCGCATCCAATCGTCTGAATAATTACTACATAATTAGAGACAAAACAAACAAAATATGTCATTGTCATCATTACATTGATAAGAAGTTCAGCAGAGCTGGGGGTGAGCATGGACCGGATTGGGGTAAAATCAGAACCAATCCGTTATTTACGGTTCTTGAAAAATTGGAATCAATCCAATCTGTTTAAATCATGGAATCAATTCGAACCAATCCATTTAAATACAGATTGGATCGGTTTAGGACCACGGATTCACATAATTAAATAACAAAAATATATATATATATATATAACATTTTAATTTTATAAAAATATAAACATAGCGTCATATCAGTTCCATAATAGTAACATGTTTTTCTATAATAGTGACATACTGTTCTTGAATTTAAACAACTATAAGAAAATACAAACAAAAGTAATAAAATAAGATATTATACGGTTTTAGGTTTGAGTTTAGATTTTATATAGAATAAGAGAATATACTATGAGGGAGGATGTATAATAAAAATATAGACTATTTGTATACGGTCCGGATCGGTTCTAATCCGGAAGGTTCAATCCGGAACCAATCCGTGGATTACGGATTTTTAATTCTTCAATTCGGAACCGAACCGCGGATTCAAAAGACCAATTCAAACCTATCGGATTAGACTGGACTGGATCAGATTACGAATTTCACGGATTCCTTGTTCAGCCTAAGCAGAGCATCAAAAGTCACCTTCCCAAACAATTATAGTCTATTAAATAAATAAAAAATCTATACCAACAATAATCTCTAACATTGACTAATAAAAAAATAAATAAAGTTTGAGATTATATTTTGAAGTGAAATGCTAATCTCATAATCCCATGATATTCCTCTCAATCGGCATTTGTTAAGAACCAAGTAATATATTAAAAAAAATAAAAAATTAATCCTCGACACATTTTATACAATTTACACATTGTTAACAATAACCACCTAAATGGTTATTCTCATTCTATTTTATTCTAAATACATTCTCTTCTTTACTCTTAATATACATAACTAACATAATTACACATACTATTCACGAATATAAATAAATAATTAAAAATTAATTTTTAAAATTAAATAATAATCTAAAAAATTTGTCTAGAATATTTAGCAAACATGATTTAAAATCAATTAAATTTTTGGGAGATGCACCAATAAATCCCAAATTAATAACTTATGCACTGTTTAGTCCTAAAAGTTTTCTTATAGACTGAAAGGTCCCATTACAATGTTAATAACATCAGATACAATGTTAATAACATCAGAGTCATGTTACAAACATTGGATTTCAAACATCTAATGTTCATCAAATTTCAATAATGTTTGAAAATATAGGATGAAAAACATCTAATGTTCATCAGATTTCAATAAATTTTGAAATTATAGAATGAAACATCAGATCATTTACATCATTCACATCATGTTGATGTAAAAATGGGACTAAATGGAGTATAAGAAAATTTTTAGGACTAAATGGTTCAACGTTTCAAAAACTAGGATTTATTGGTAAATTTTTCTAAATTTTATTCATTTTTATCACAGTTAAATATAAGAGAATTTTTTTTTATTCTTATGTCATTGTGTGCTCTGAGTTCTTTATAACAAATACATGTCGTAATTTAATTGGTAAAAATTAAAAAATAAATCAAAAAAATTATATTTATGATAAAATATAAATACATTTCGTCTTATGAGTTTCGTAAATTTAATTTATCATATGATAGTGGTAAATTACATTTGTCAACATATTAATTTTTTCATATTTTGTTAAGTCTAAAAATTTGTCTAGCATCAAAATTAAAATTTGTCTTATGTTATAAGATTTACGTAAATATGGGTTAAAATTCACTTGTGATATTAAATTTAGACTTAACATTAGATTTACTCCAACTTGTCTTTCACCTAATCATTAAAAATGGTCTTGATCTATTCTCAACTTATATGAATCATTTGACCTATCTATTTATTAAATTAATAAATAGATATTTGTAAGTATTTTTTATAATAAAAATAAGAAATATGGTCATACTTTATGCATACTTATTAAAAAATTTGAACTTAGTTTTAAAAAAACTAATATTTATGTTTAAAACAATTAAATGAATAGTTATATATATTTATGTATGAAAAAATTATTTAAGATAGAGCCACCTTAAATTGTAGGTCATATTCTAGTCTTAATAAATTTAAATTTTATCATAGTTTATCAGTTTGTGATATGAGCTAATTTGGGAGGTTTTAAAATTGGATTAAACACTAAAAAGTAGTCAAGAAAATTTAGTTCGAGTCGATCTTTTTATCAATAATTATTGATTTAAGCCTACTCCTTGAAAAAGCGTCTAGTTCATATTCAATCCATGAGTTAGTAGACCCACTTATTTATTTAATTTTTAATTATTAAATATATTTTTAAAAAAAATTATAACAAAAATAGGAAATATGTTCATATTTGTTTGGCATATATATTTACAATTTTAAAATTAATTAAGAAATTATTCTTAAAAGAATAAATTACATTAATTGTCCTTATATTTTAACTTTTGTGTTATTTTTGTCCTTACAATTTTAATTTGCTCGTTTTTTACTCTAAATTAATAATTTTATCTCAATTTGATCCAATTGTTATAATTGCTACTTTTTTTAAATTGAAAACACACACATGAGTAGCATCTTTTATAATTTTATAGACAAAATTATAAATTTGTTTAACTCAGTAAGTTAATCTCAACCAGCTCAATAACTATTTTATTTTAAAAACCTTAACCGATATTATCAATTGGATAACGTTGATACAAAATCTAAAATTAATAGTCAAAGTCAAGCTAATTAAAATTACAAAGATCAAATTGACACAAGAGACAAACTGCGGGAACTATCAATATTAAAATATATTTATCTTTAAAAAATTATTTAAGACTAGATCAGACTAGAATCTGAATAAAAAATTAATGACTTATTAAAAATATTTAATAATTATAAATTTAAATTTAATCAATTTTTCATTTAATTTTTTTTCATAATAGAATTAGGTTGTTTAATAATTATAATTTATAGTTCCAATTTTTCTTTGTATTTTTTTAAAATATTTTAAAATTATATATAATTATAATTTCTTTTGAACTTTCCTTTTCAATCTCAAATTAGTTATAAGTTGAATTATATATAATTTATTGTTGACTTCTCATCTAAAAAAAAAAACATAAATTATTTTTTGAACATTGTAAAAAATAAATAAATAAAGATATTATCAATAATAATAATAACAAAATATATTTTTCTTTATCATGTGGCGTCTCACTACTACATTAATAATAGACATTGATAATAAAACTCATTACAATAGTACAACAATAATATATCTGATGATAAGTAACATATGATCATAATAATTTTTTATAGTTATACAAAAGTATCTAAAATGATATATAAAAAATTAATATATGATCCATATTCAATTGTTATGTAGTAAAATTCACACTTAATCTCAGCCACACATTAATTTTCTAAATCAATTCATAATCCAAACTATCTACTATTCTTTTAAGTAATATTCACATTTTCAAAACTCACCCAAACAATACTATGACTGAGTTCATCATCATCCTTGTTGTTGCCATACTTACCACCTCCACTAATCACTATGCAACTCTGTTCTTTTTTTTTATCTTTGCAAATTTAAAAAGACAATGTTGAAAAAATAAAAAAGGTGCCGTTAGAGTTTTAAAGAGTTAAAAACAAAATGAAAAAAAATGTGTTATTTTAATTTTTCTTATTCATCTATGGGTGATATTTTTTTTAAAATCCATAAATTATGGAACAATATTCATTATTTAAAATTTTATTTATTGATGAGCATGTCAATTAAATGTTTTTAACTTTTTACAAACAAAAAAATTTGAAAATTTTGTTTAAGAAATTAAAAAAAATGGCCATCATAAATAACAATATAAGATGTCTTATTCTATAAAAAAAAAAAATCATAACTGTAATATCAATTTACATATATCAAAAATAATAATAATAACAATATAAAAAATACGCAAATATCCACCCAAAAAAATAAAAATAAAACTTCAAATTAACTCGCAAAACAAAGATAGTTAAACAGATATATATTTATTAACAATTTAGTTAGGAAAAAAAATACATTGGAAAAAAAAAGTCATATAAGAAAAATATATATATACTCACACGAAAATAGAAATTTACAAAAAAAAAAAAAAAAAAAACAAACAAACTTGAAAAAAAAAAAAAAAAAACCACAAACAAACAAACTTGAAATAAGTTTGGACAATTGACAAAGAAAGAGACTAACATTTAAATCATTACATTTGGAGAGAAGTTGGATGAACTGAAAAGAAGATCAAATATTAGGTATTCTAAAGAGAGAATTGTATTAAATTTTTAATTTGATTGGACTTTTAAAGTTTTAGAATTTATGTTATTTTCCAAAAGAGTGAGGGTGGCTTACCGTATTATTTTAAATTTTGAAATTTAAAATTATAGATAATTAGTACATTTATTGTTTCTTTATTTGAATTGTTTTGATTAATATTATTTTTGAAAAGAGTGAGAGTGACTTATCATATTGTTTTGAATTTTAAAATTCAAAATCATAGATAATTAAAGCCTTTTTTTGTTTTTGATTTTTTGACTTAAGGAAATAAACAATACTGTTTTTTTTTTTAATTTCTTTAAAAATTAACAAAATTAGTACGGGAGTTTGGAGCTCCTACAATCAATATTTTTAAAAACTTTCTCTTATATAATATAATATACAGATAGATAGATAAATAATTATTCCCATTCTATTTTATTTCAAATACACTCTCTATTATGTATAATAAAGATAAAAAATAAAGTGCATTTGAAACAAAATTAATTGACAATACCCTCAAAATTATATACAACATATAATAATAAAAAAAAAAGCCAAATTATGAATTATGTTATGTGATTTTAGAAATTACATTATGCCTCCTAAGATTTTTAATTTCTTAACAAATAGATCATTTTATTAATAAATTATTAAGTTAATTAATAATTTTTAATAATGTTAAAAAAAATTCAATTAATAATTTAAATAATTTTATTATTGTATAAATAAATAGTTAAAAATTTTAATTTTTTAATTAATTCTGTTAAATAAAAAATTCTAACAAAAAAATATTTGTAATTTTTTAAATCACAAAAAATAATTTATATTTTAAACAAACTATAAAGAGTGCATTTGTAATTTATTTTTAAAAATTCAACTTTTAAGGGAGTACAAATGGTACAGAGAACGGGTACTTGAACTCAGCTAACAATAAAGGTTAGAGGGTTTCAACAAAATTTATTTACTAATAATCATTTTAACTAAAATGCCTAAAATCAACGTACCCAAATCCTAGATTTCTTCCTTGGCCAGCGTCGCCGTGGTGGTCGATGTAATCAGACGGCGAAAATCTGGAGAAAACCGTCGAAAGTGACGCCGTGGTTTTCACCATCGCCACCGCCCAATCTGATCATGGCCTTGATATCTTCATCAGAAGCTTCAAAGCCAGCCCACCGGAGGTAGCTCCGGAGATCCTCCTCCCCTACCCTCCCATCTCCATCTCTGTCCATAACCCTAAACGCCTCCTCCATCACCCCCAATCTCTCTCCTCCTCTACTTGCATTCCTCCTCGAATCCAAAACCTTCTCGAATTCGTCGTACTCCACGTACCCGTCCTTGTTCGAATCCGCCACCGACATCATAGTTTCGATAACCTCCGCCGCCGCCGCTTCTCCGCCGCCGGCGTAAATTCCAGAGTAGAAGCTGCGGAGATCGTCGCGGCTTATCTTGCCGTCGTTATCGACGTCAAGCACGTCGAATGCTGATCGGAACTCTGCAGTGCCGCTGGCGGTGGTGTCGGGGCGGAGGGTGGAGGCAGCGGTGCCGGTGGGGCACATTGCGATTGCGGTTGTGCGGTGAAATGCAAACACGAGAGAGAGAGAGAGAGAGAGAGAGAGAGAGATTGGGTTGGTGTTGTATGGCAGCTATACGTATATATATATAGAAGAATAGTTGGACCTCCGGGAATTTTGGGTCAGGGATTAAAACAATCATGAAAAATTTATAATATTTAAATTATCTTTGATTAATCTGTGATATTTTATTTTAAGTGTAATCAAAAAATTATAAAATTTTCATAATTATTTTCATGAAAAATTTTTCATAACAGCTAGCATTGCTTTTTTTGCGTTAGGTCCACCACCAGCACCAGCTTTCTTGTTAGGATTTCCGTGGAGGAAATATTAAAATTAAAAAAAAGGTTATTGAATTGGGGATAATTAATGAACTAATTCGACCTTCACTTGTGATTTGCTGGTTAAAGTTTTTTTTTTAAGGTTTTGGGATAATTAATGAATCAAATAGTTTGACCATGATTTGTGATTAACTCGTTAAAATTTATTTGAATTTAATTCATTAATTAAACAAGTCAATTTTAAATATATGTTAGCAACTCATTAAAAGAGGTTGATGGGTGGGGTAGCGATGAGACTAGCGTGGGATGGTGTGGTATGGAGAGAAGAGTTGCAGTAGTAGTACTAGTAAGCAAAGCCATAAGAAAAGGTACGGATGAGCAAAAAGGATGAGAAAACGTTGGGAATAACAGGGTGAAATTAATAGTGATCGCCAATAATTGTAGTAAAGAAAAATGTAAGGGTGAGGAAGATGTAAAGAATAAGAGACATACTGATAAAAATTCAAAGAGAAATAACTTTTTGGTTTCAATTTTTTTTTAAATAAAGTAGATTTAATCACTTTGTTTGATTAGAATTTTTTAAAAATACTTTTTAAAAAATTTTACTCTCTTGTTTTTCGTATTTTTTTTAATTTTTATTGTATTTTTTTAATTTTTAGACATACCTAACATAAATATACCTAAAAAGTAAAAAAATTGTGAATTTTTTTTTTAAAAATTCACTAAATATCAAAAATACAAAAAAAAAAGAGAATTTAGTAGATTTTTTGTATTTTTATATATTTATTAATTTTGTAATTTTCACAAATTTTTTACTTTTTAGATACATCTAAGTAAGATGCATCTAAAAAAGTAAAAAAAAAATTTAAAATTTTAAAAATATTCACTAAAAACAAAAGAATTCAAAAACTAAAAAACTTAATTTTAAAAAAAACTTAATCCAAAAAACTCAAATTATACGTACTGAATAATTTTATAAATAATTTTGAGCCTTTCATATTCTTTGCAATTATTTTTTGTTCTCTCATTCTTTCACAATTATTTATTTATTTATTTATACTTCATATCATTTATTTATAATTTGACACATCCATCACACCAAGTCAAAAAAACAGTATAACAAGGGTTACCACATTATCATTAATACGGGGTGTTTGATGTAGATTATAGGAGATAATTATTACTTATTTTAATTTAGAAATTTATGTCAGATTGTTTGGTATAACTTTTCTTTACATTTTTTTAGATAAAAATAACTTAAATAAATTGTGAAAAATTAATTATTTAGAAGTTAGAGAACGAGTGCTTTTAATTTATAATTTCTGATTATCAACTTTTAGTTTATATATAATTCAGTAACAATCATATATATAAAAAGTGACCTATATAATAATATTGAATAATAATATTGCAAAATATATATATATATATATATTTTTTTTTTTTCTTTTCATCAAGCCATTGCGACGAGCACATTGAGGAGGGACGTATCGGACGACGTAATTTGAAGGGGCCTAAATTCTTAAAAGAGTTCCACTCGGTTTAGCAAATTCTGCCAATTTAGGCTGGTAGTTGTGGACCCCGGTTAAATATACCTATTCATAATGTGAACACAAAAATAATTTTAAAAACATACACAGACATGTGTCAACATGTTCAAGCTCATATTGTAGTAGAAAGAGAAAATTGGTGATAAATTCATGAGAGGGAGATTTGCGCCGATCAAGACGGCCAAGCTACAATAGCACGGGATATGATGATGGGCCTTGCGAGGATCGGACCGTGTCTGACCGAACTGAATCGACACTGCTCCCCGACCCATCACGTTAGGCCGAGCAAGATCGTCGACCAAAATACAGAGACATGCATGTGCTTAACCGAGCTATGACTCGGCCTGATATTCGGTTGGATCCGCAATGATGCATTGGAACCGAGTCGAGTACAGTCCGGAATGAACTTGGGCCGAGATGAAGAACCGCATGCCTCACGGCCGGTCAGTTAAGATGAATCAACTTATTGTAGTTCGGCCGTCCCAGTCATGGTGGTGTTACTCCCCTAAGGGATAGATTGGTCGTGATAGCCCGATTGTGTAAACCACCTGGACCAATGATGCGAAGAAGGGAAAATCCACTCTTGGTATGTGTCAATACTGTTTGGCGATTCGACAAACACTATTTGGAAGTTTTGGTCTCTACACGTGTAAGGAAGGTAGAGGAGAGCACAACTGCCTGTCCAGGGAAGGACAACAGAGGTAGTGCGCCCACATTCCCTGAGGTTGTATGGCTAGCCTAGAAAATGAGGAATGAGGGAACGTTAGAGGTAAGCAACCTGAAGGAATTCACGACTCTCTCTCTCTAAAGTGCTCTATTCCTATTCTTCTTCTTCTCGAAGTGTGCTGACTTGATCATCGGAGGGTTTATCCGGCAGCACCCCGTTAGGCAGCTCACCATCTTTCTATTTTCAGGTCAAGCGACGTTACATAAAGCTCGAGTTCAAGAAGTATGGAGAACAGAGGATATTTCATCCCCGTACGATTCAATTTAAAGAGGGTGTAAGATATTAAATTTAGAGAATATTTTATATTAGTGAGAAATTCACACTTTGTGAAATAGTTTTGTGAAAAGTCTTAGAAGACATTTTGTTTTTAATTTTATTCCTTTACTTTTTATTTATTTATTTGACTCTTCATTGACTATCTGTTCAAATTTATATCTATCTACTCAATTTTTTTCACTATCTGTTTGATTTTTTCTCCTATATGTTCAATATTTCCCTAAATTCTATTTATTTGTTCAATTTTATATCTATCTATTCAAAAAATTTAACTATCTGTTCAATTTTTTTCTATCTGTTGAAAATCGATGTCAACTTTTTTATATATCTGTTGCAATCATCATCATCAATATTAATTTTTTTCCAGATCTATCTCATGCATACATACACTTATAGATATACATACATACACCAACATACACACTCATAGATATACATACTTACACCAACACCTATCTGTTGCAATCCAAACCAAACCCTATCTGTTCTAATTTTTTTTTCTCTCCCAATTGAAATCTTTCTTGTTTCTCATCCTTACATATTCAACGCAAAAACAAAACTCTATCTGTTTCATCAACAACAACACCACCACTACCATAAAATATATATACAGATTTATCTGTTTCAAACCCAAGAAGAAAGAAAAGAAAAATTAAATGTCAACATCAACAGATTTGTTCAAACACAAACCACCACCACAAACATCACCAGATCTATCTGTTTCAAACCCAACGAACTAAAAAAAAAAAATTCAAGCAGCAAATAAAGCAAAAAACAACAAAACATTTTGTTGGAAAAATGGTTTGGAAATAATAGATGAGTGAGAAATTGACTCCAAAATGCACCATTTGAGTATGGTTTTAAGACGAAATTTATTTAAATGAAAATTTGATTTTATTTAGACAAATTCGTTAATTTTTTGAGTCAAAATTAAACAGGATTCGATTCAGAATTCGAATTCTCTTAAAAAAACAATTATGTTTTTTTTTTTTGCACTTTTTCATGAAAAAGATGTGACTCTTTTGAAAAGTCACCATAACCATTTGAAGAGCCACCAATTTACCTATATAAACAGGCCCTCCTTATTACATTCATTTGGCATTGAATTCATCTTGTGTTTCTATTCTTCTGTACTCTATCTTTTCTGTAAGAGAATTTTGGGCAGTAAGATTCGCTAGACTTGCAGTGGTAGTACTGCTTCTGCAAGGTTCGATCGTTGTATCCTGAGAGACAAACATTTAATAATAATCTCGTGAGTACCGTAACGGGGAACGGATTTGTCTTAAGGAAACTGTATCCAACACAAGCCTCGATCAAATTTGTTTTTCGTTTCCAAATTTTTACTGTAACAACCCAGATTTTTAATTATTCTGTAGAATTTATACTAATATTATTTAATCACAGTTAGAAAAAAAATATAATTTATTATATATTATTATGTGTAATTTTGTAAAATAATATAATTATTAAAAGTTTAGGGGTCAAAATATAAATAATAATAATAATGGATGTGGTAGTAAAATAAATAATTAATTTTCTATGAGTATATAATAAAATATAATTTAATTAGAGATTAATTTATTTATATAATTATATTAAGAATCTGAACTAAGATCTAATTATCTTAATTATTTATTTAAGATTAGCATCAATCTATATAAAATCTAATTGAATTTGGAGAAGGATTCACCCTGACCACGCGTTGGCCAAGTATGCCTTTTACCTTCCTATGAATAGGGAGGAGATGATTTGGAGAAAGAAACGAAAGAAAGAAAGGAGAGAAACAAAGGAAAAATAATGGAAGCTGAGGGAGAGTTTTGATAGTGGAAAGAAAGAATAAGATACTATTTTTAAGGTGAATTATATTATATTTTGAGTCATTATAATGTATTTTACGTATGTTTTGACTTATCATATTTATTTTATACAAGTGATGTTTTATAAATTATTATAAACTATATTATTATTTCAGTTACTTGGATTATTTCTAAACCCTATTTGCTTAAAAGGAAACTCATGGATATGTTTATTTATATTTTAAATAATATTTGACTATGACCTTTTAAACAATTATGTTTTGTAAATACCACCATGGGAGTCCCACTCATTGGGGGACTTAAATAACCATTGGCCTCTGTTTGGTCACTTTGTGGCCCTCTGATCAATTGGTCTCTGTTCTGTGCGGAGCAAAGTGTTATACGGAGCTAAGTGCTACACTGTTGTGG